GCATCCTTTGACAGACAAAATTTCGCGCTAACGATTTTCATTTTCCTGGCCTGCCATTTATTCTTTGGGAGCTCACCTGTCATGATGTAGTGTTTTATTGGCTCCCTCCAGTCAGCCCCCCAGTCTTTAGCCGGAATTTGGTCAACTTTGTGAAATAGTCGTGGCTCTGGCTCGGGATGCTCGTTTGGTTCAAGAACATCCTCCTCGATTAACGGCTCAGTTTCTAATATTGTTTCTGGAATCACCTCTTCAGCTAAGACAACGGGTTTCTTGTTAGATGTATTCGATCCCTTTGACTTCCTTCGTTTGTTGGGTGGCGGTTCGATATCTGGTTCGCCACGGTCGCGTGCCGCTGCTCGAGACCTTGTAACGACGAGGGTTTTTTTGCTGTCTTGAATGCTTCGCTCCGGAATGCATTCCGCTGGAATAACTCTCTTTAACTCAGGATCTGATGTTGACGCCAATGCGGCAAGTGCATCCGTAGTTGTATTCTCTCCCCGAGGTATACGGATTAATTCAAATTTCGAGAAATTTTTAGATAGATCCTTCACCACTTCGAGGTACGCTTCCATTCTTGAATCTTTGGCTTCATAGTCTCCATTAAATTGGTTAACTACTAATTGCGAATCGCAATAAGCCAATATTTCCTTAGCTCCAACTCCTTGTGCTAATCGAAGTCCGGCAATCAGGGCTTCGTATTCTGCCTCGTTGTTGGAGGCATTGAATAACAACCGGAATGATTGTTCTAGAATTTCTAATGTTGGAGATTCCAACTTGATTCCCACTCCGGATCCTTGCTTTGTTGAAGACCCGTCTACGTGTAATTTCCAAGTTTGGTTCTCCGAATGTTCTATCGTTCTAGGTATTGGTAGCTCGGTTAAGAAATCTGCTAGAACCTGAGCTTTCATACTGATCCGGCTTTTGAATTCTATATCGTACTCGCTTAACTCCACCGCCCATTTCGCCAAACGTCCGGACTGACTTGGACTATGAAGTATTGTTCGGAGTGGTTGGTTAGTTAATACTTCAACCGGATGGGATTGAAAATATGGGTGCAGCTTCCGAGCCGAAGTTACCACCGCGAGTGCAAGTTTTTCCATCATTGTGTATCTTGTTTCCGGATCCGTCATTGACTTGCTCACGTAGTAAATTGGTTTCTGCTCCCCACGGTCTTCCCGAACCAAGACTCCACTAACCGCGTGATTTGAAACCGACACGTACAAATAAAGTTCTTCATCCACTTCCGGTTTGGACAATATAGGTGGAGTGGTTAAGTATGCCTTAAGCTGCCCAAAAGCTTCTTCACACTTCTCATCCCAAAGGAATCCTTTGTTCCCTTTTAGAATTTGGTAGAAAGGCAACGACTTATCTGTTGATCTTGAGATAAAACGATTTAGAGCCGCAATCCGTCCAGTCAACCGTTGTACTTCTTTGAAGTTTCTTGGAGAGGGCATGTTTAGAAAGGCGTTAACTTGATTTGGATTGGCTTCAATTCCTCTTTCTGTCACGATATAACCAAGAAATTCTCCGGATGGGACTCCAAATGTGCATTTCGCCGGGTTCAGCTTCATTTGATACTTATTGAGAATATCAAAACATTCCTCTAAATGCCTAATGTGATCCTCTTTTTTTAATGACTTAACCAACATATCATCTATGTAGACTTCCATTGTCTTTCCGAGATGATTATGGAACATTTTGTTAACCAACCGTTGATAAGTTGCTCCTGCATTTTTCAAACCAAAAGGCATTACCTTGTAACAATAGATACCTCTATCAGTGATAAACGACGTTTTTTCTTGGTCTTTGGGGTTCATCATTATTTGATTATAACCCTAGAAGGCATCCATGAATGTTAACAGCTCGTTCCCAGCGGTGGACTCTACAAGTCGATCTATATGTGGGAGCGGGAAACTATCCTTGGGACATGCTTTATTGAGGTCTGTGAAGTCGATGCAAACCATATCTTTCCCATTCTTCTTTTTGACAACGACAGTGTTTGCTACCCATTCTGGATATTGTACTTCTCTTATGGACCCTATCTTCAAAAGTTTATCCACTTCGTCATTTACTATTTTTGCTCGCTCCACTCCAAGCTTTCTTCTTTTTTGTTTCACCGGTTTGAAGCTTGGATCCACGTTTAGTTCATGACAAATTATACTTGGATTTATGCCAGGTATGTCCGCTGCTGACCATGCAAACGATGTTTTGTTTTTCCTTAAGAGTTCGATCAAAGCTTCTTTTATTTAGCCAGTCAAAGTTGCCCCAATTCGAATTTTCTGGTCCGGCTTGTCTTCTTCCAACACCACTTCGATTACTACATCATCTTTCTTCTGCCCGCTAGGAAATTTTGTTCTTAGTCCCTCTTTTGCGGGCTTCGTTAATTGCTATTGAATCTTCATACGGTGGCTAGCTAGATAACACGTCCGTGAAGCTTCTTGATCTCCCCGAATTGTTTCCACTCCTCTTGATGTTAGAAATTTGATACATTGATGATATGTAGAGGGGACTGCTTTCATTTGATAAATCCAGGGAGTACCAAGGATGATGTTGTAAGCTGCGGGCTTATCGAAGACGACGAAGTCCACGATCTTTGATACCTTTTTGGCGAGGACCGGTAGTTTGATTGTCCTGAGAGACATGGCTGACTCACTTGTGAATGCAACTAATGGAGACGGAGGCCCCACTATGTCCGCCCGACTAATTCCCATTCTTTCTAAAGTACTTAAAAAGATCAAATCGACCGAACTGCCTGTATCTATAAGGATCCTTGATACTTCGAAGTTAGCAACGTCAAGGGTAATGACTAGAGCATCATCATGAGGTCTTTCGAGGTACCGCGTTTCTTCTTCATTAAATGATATTGATGCACCTTGAAAATCAACTTCTTCGCTTAAGCTTGCTTTGAGTAGGATATTTCGTCTATGTTTCTTGATGGAACTTATCGAATCTCCGCAAAATTTGGAGCCTCCTAGAATCACATTGATCTTACCCTTCGAACTCCTTGGTTCTTCCTTGTTGGTTAACCTTGGTCTTTTGGAATTTTGGTCTTTGGAACTTTCCTTTGCTTTGTAGTATTCTTTCACAAAATCTTTTATATCGAATTTGGAAAGATCTCCACTAGCCCAAAGCTCTGCGAGGTGCCTTTTAAGAACGCTGCAATCCTTGGTTAAATGTCCGGTTACTTTATGAATGTCGCAGTATAGACTTTTATCACGGACCCAAGTGTTTGATCTTCCTTTCCCTTGGAATTGCTTTCCGACGGTACTGTTGAAGGGTTGCGACCCAAATTTCCTTGGTCCTTTGCTCTCCCTAGGCTCGAACTTCTTGGTAGGGACGGTGATTGCTGGCTTTTCTTGCTTATTTCTTTTGGCAAAACTTTCTTTTTCGTCCTCTACCTCCATCCAGTTGTTCGCGCGGAAGAGTGCATCCTGAATTGTGTCTGGTTTATGAAGTATTAAGTCTTCTTTAAACCTTGAATCATGTCGCAATCCTTTTTGTAGGGCAGATAAAGCTGATTGCTGCGAGATTCTTGGGAGCTTTGACAGCACTCCTTTGAATTTGGTGATGAAAACTCGAAGTGACTCATTAGATCCTTGCGATAAGTTCCAAAGATCGGCATCCGAAACGCTTTTATCCATAAGGATGGAGTATTGCTTTAAGAATACGGCTGATAGTTCGTCGAAATTGCTGATCGAACCCGGCTCTAATTGGGTGAACCACATTAGAGCTTGACCACATAGATTCTCCGAAAAAAGCTTGCAGTAGCCTGCGTCCTCATCAGCTTCATCCAATTCGACTCTTCCAGCAGCGATCAGAAAAGCTGCGAGGTAGCTTTTTGGATCCTCCAATCCGCTGTAAGGGTCCAACTTGAGTTTCTGGGAATCTTTGATCCTCAAACTTGCAATTCGCGAGATGAAAGGTGTTCGCCTAGCTTCTTCAATGACTCGATTGATGTCTGGCTCCGAACTTGTAGCTTGATGAAATTTTGATTTCATTTCTTTTAATTCCTGGCTAACCTTCCTCATGGTCTCGAACTGGTCGAGGTTCTCCTGCTCGTATTGAGCTGCAAGTTGTTCTTCATCTCCGAGCTGTGTCTCTTCTTCCAACATCTGAGCTACATTATTAGTAGCACCGGGAGTTGTTTGTCCGCTGGTTTCATTTCGCGCAGCGGAACTTGGCGAGTTGAATATCCCTCTTTGGATTCCCACAAGGTTTCCTGCACTTAAAGAGCAAACACGAGTTTGTATAGTATTGACGTTTTGACTAAGAGATACCTGGGATGTTTGCAACGTATCGACGGCCTTTTCTACATCCGAGAACTTTTGTGATATGTCCGACATGGTTTGCTGCATAGCTTTGAGGGTTTCGGCCAATGATGTCTCAACGGCGTCTCCTCCGGACATTGTTGCTTATCTCGAAAGTGTAATAAAGAAAAAATCTGACCACTCAAGAACCTTCTTCACCACAGACGGCGCCAAAATGTGGATGTCGGATTCACACACTCAAGTATTTTTATTAGTAGGAAAGATTATTCTTGAGGGACAAAAAATAAGAACGTAAAAGGCTTATGAATTGCTACCAAAATTGCTATCGTATTTCTTGCTCCAGAGAGAGATCCCTTTACATGGCCATTGGCCTTTATATTTATACATAGAGAAACGGCATTAAAATGAGTAATTAAGTACAATTATTCCTTCTTAAATGTGTCACGTTTTGATTCCTTGACTTTAATGCTCAACGTTTGAATTTGAGTTGACTCTGATCTTTGTGGGCCTCGCCTTTTCGGCCCAAGTTTCCTTGAACCGACTTACCCGTGTCTTCTACACCGAACTCATGTCACAGTGCAGTCATTTCGGATTCTCGAAGTGGTGACAACCACTTCGACCGTTCCTTCGGCTCATGGGTCCAATGGGCTTCATCCTTTATGGGTCATTATCTTGACTACGTGGCAATCTTTGGTTGGTCTCGGACTTCTGGTGCGGGATCCGACACCAACAATAACTGTTACAATAAAGTGGGTAAAATTGGAACAAAAAATAGGTCGTGCTTTTTTTTTTTTTTGGTGAGCATAGGTCGTGCTTTTTATTTCAACTTTAAATTGATCTGTATATTTTTCTGGCAAAGAAAAAAAGTTCAGGTATTATTTTGGCAAATATTAAATAAGTTGGGTTTTTTCTAGAATTTTTCGTAAATAAAACTAAAAACGTTTGATGATTTCGTTAACGTCGTTGACGGCCGTTACGGCAAAGGGAGGTAATCGGAAAAAAAAATTAGATCGTGTTTTTTATTTCTAACTCAAATTAGTTTATGTATTTTTTTGGCAAAAAAAAAAGTTTAGGTAATTTTCTGACAAATATTAAATAAGTGGGGTTTTTTTAGGGAATTTTCCTATTATTTTTGCCTTAAAAGTTAAAATGCATTTCAACCATATTTTCTATCTCGTATAAAGTTGATCTAGTTTTTGGTGGATTTATGAATGCTACTAGGCCATGATCACTTCTAATTTGCTAATTTTTTTACTGTAAAAATAATAATATTTAAAGTCTTAGTATTTTAATTGGAAACTAAAAATACTGAAAAAGGGGATTAAAAATAAGATTATTGGTTTTTTACCACAAATCAAAAAAGACATTGCAGTTTTGCAGCTGCATTTGAATCTTCCAACATGAATAATTAAACACCGTTAACGGAAATCTAACGGAAATTTAACACCGTTAACGTTTGGTTAACGGAAATTTAATTAAACACATGTTAACGTCTGGTTAACGTCTGGTTAATGGAAATTTAACACCGTTAACGTCTGGTTAACGAAAATTTAACGGGATGCCCGAAATAGCCAAGTCAAACTAAACTTCACTATTTTGTCAAAAAGTCAACCTAAACTTTATGATTTAAATGACATTTCGATAGTTCATGTTTTTTTCGTTCCAAATTTGAAAGTTCGTGAATTTTTCTATATTTTTCCCAATAATTAAAAAAGAAAAAAAAAAAACAGAAAAGGTCACATTTTTCCATTTTTGGAGGTCTCTCTCCGAACGTGTATCACACGCGCTGCAATTGCGCGTAGACGAATAATTAATGGAAACCATATCAACTGAAAATATAAATAAGTAGAAAATAAAGGTGAAACAGTGACGTAAAAGTTAGAATTCAATGTGATGCACCACACGTAAACTCTCACTTATTCACCGTTAGATCTTTGTCAAAAGTCAACAAACTATCTAAATCCAACGATTCGGTTTATGTATCCGTGTAAAATCAACAACACACGGTAGTTTTTTTATTTTTCTTTCTAAAAAAATTTCGATAAAAACAAAAAATTTAAGTGAAAGACAACAATCGGAGAACAATCTGGTCTGCTGCTAAATTTAATATAAAAAATAAAAAATAAAAAACAGAGAGATAAAAAAAAAAAAGAAATTGCGAAAAAGAGAAGACCTTTGTGGCTTTGTCTAATTGTCTCCACTGAAAATAAAAAAGCGCGAATTCAATTCACCGACTAAAGACATTCTCCGGTGAACAACTCGATGCAATCCACTCATATCAGCGGCGGAAGTAGCGGCGGTGGTGGTGGTGGTGGCGGAGGAGAGGTGAGTCGAAGTGGTTTATCTCGGATCCGTTCAGCTCCAGCTACTTGGATTGAAACCCTACTCGAAGAAGATGAAGAAGAAGGCTTAAAACCTAACCTCTGTTTAACAGAGCTTCTTACTGGTAATAACTCTGGAGGAGTGATAACGAGTCACGAGTTCCCGAGTTCTGTTGAGCAGGGATTGTATAATTATAATCACCAAGGTGGTGGCTTTCACCGCCAGAATAGTTCTCCGGCGGATTTTCTTAGTGGGTCTGGTGTTGGGACTGATGGGTATTTCTCAAGTTTTGGTATTCCGGCGAATTATGACTATTTGTCGACTAACGTTGACATTTCTCCGACTAAACGGTCTAGAGATATGGAAACACAGTTTTCTTCTCAGCTGGTAAGAATCTGTTTCATTGAATTCAGATAAAAATGGAAACTTTAATTGAAAGATAACTTCTTTTGCTTACTTTATTGTCAAGTTGTGTGAATTTATGGTCAAAATGCTGAGTGTTTAGGTTCTGACTTGAGTTCTGTTATAGGGATTGATACGGTTATTGTTTAATTGGGTGTTTGAATTCTTCAGTTGTGGAGACAATAAAGATGTAAAAGAGTAGTCTTGTCTAATTTGACAACTTGCATTTGTTTGTAACAAATTCCCAGCAAGTTGCAGTTTTTTTTTTTTTCTTTGTTTTCCTGTGGCTGTGAAAGTGAATGTTGCATAAAGCTTCTATTAGTAGTTGGGCAAACTAAATTAGTCACTGCACATAGTCCATCTTTGATGAGTATCACTTACTTGTGTTAACTATGTATCGATCGTGTAACGTTAGTAGTTATCATGGCTTTTGTGAGATAAAACATGTTTTGATGTTCATGGTTAAGTCTCTGTGTGTATATGGATACTTAACTAATAACTCTTCCCTTCTGGTTTGTTGAGTAGAAAGAAGAGCAAATGAGTGGTGGGGTGTCAGGAATGATGGATATGAACATGGACAAGCTTATTGAAGGTTCAGTTCCTTGTAGGGTTCGTGCTAAACGTGGTTGTGCAACTCATCCTCGTAGCATTGCTGAGCGGGTATTTACTTAAAAGTTTGTGCTAGATATTTTGCAGTACCAGTTCTGTTTCTGTCTCATTCTTGGTTTTGTCATTAAGCTTTTCTTCATTCATTATGTTAGGTGAGAAGAACGCGAATAAGTGATCGGATCAGGAGGCTGCAAGAACTTGTTCCTAACATGGATAAGGTAAATTTTCTTTTACAGGGCAGATTGATTTTAAGTTTTCTTGGAAGTTTTTAATAAAGAATTACGAAATGGGTCCAAGATTGTATATGCTTAAAGCTTAAGGTAAGAGTTAGTGCTTAGCCGTAAAGTAAAGGAATTTGGATGCTAACTGTTGATTATTGTCAAGGCATTAATGGTACTCCTTAGTCCATAAACTATGGTTCTGCAGTCTTTGATTCGAAGATTCTGTGTATGATATGTCATTAGTTGCTGTATTATATTATGACAACAAACGTTTGAGGTTTCTGAAACTCTGTGGGAACGATAAAAGTCCGGGAGAGTTATAACGCGAAGATTCGGGTTTTTGTATTTTCTCTGTTGCAGCAAACCAACACTGCAGACATGTTGGAAGAAGCTGTGGAGTACGTGAAGGCTCTTCAAGGCCAGATTCAGGTTTATCTGCATATTACTAATTGATTAGAAACACAAATTTATATTAAAAAAAAAGCATTTTTTTGATCATTTGATTTGGTTTTGATGGATTCAGGAATTGACAGAGCAGCAGAAGAGATGCAAATGCAAACCTAAAGAAGAACAATAATGTTTCCTTTAGGATTGATATATCTGTAATTTTTTTTTAATATCTAAAAATGGTGATGATCTGTTCGAAAATTCGAAACATGATCCTATATATTGAACTAGAAAAAAATAGATATATGAATTTTAGCTGTAAAATTTTTGTACAATAAGGAGAAAAGTTTTAGAAGAGTCAATAAAAAAATGTATGTTCTTTATACATGTTGGGAATATATATTTTGTTAGTGTTCTTTATCAATTTATGCTCAAGGTTTCAGCTTTATAACATTACTAACTATTGAAACATAATAGGAAAAAATAAGAAAGTAGAGCATATTTAGTTTGAGAAAATTGGAAATAAAGGATATCTACTTAAAAATTTGTCCATATATCCTTTCTTTTTGTAGATTGGTCAAATAGGTTTTTTGAAAATAAAAAAAAACCCAATTTTACCCTCATTTTCTCTCAAAATTAATAAAAATTGATTTTAAAAATAAAACTATGTAATGTATTTACTAAAATTAAATAGAAATCTAAACCTTCCACTTGAGAAAGAGTCTCTCAATCACCTAGACCTAATTAACTGTTTTTTTTTTCCCTGTCGTAGATGAACATGTCGAGGTAAAACAAAAAGGACCCTAGTCTCTCTCAAACGAGCCCACCGCCGTATCTCCACCGACTGCGTGTTTTCCGGCATTGTTGGTCCTCCGGTGTTCATCTGGGCGACGATTGAAGACTGAATCAATAGGTACGTTGCTGTACTCTTTTTTGTGATTGAAATTATGTCTTTTTCTCATCTCAAGTCACAATTTTTGTTACTCGTTTAGAAATTTGCGTTCATATAAACAAAAATTAGATTTGAGACTTGTAGATCGATGTGAATCTTTTTGTTCTCTCGATTTAGTTGCAAGTCACAATTTCAATTTGCATGTAGAGTTGTTAATATCTTTGAATTCGTGAAACTCGATTAAAGGTTTCAATTTGGTGAGTTTTAAAATTCCAAATTTAAATTGAATGTAGATTGAATAAGTCTTTCGCTCTTTGATTCCAAATTACAATCGAAGTGATCTTTTTGTTCTCTTTTTGATCTGTTTAGTCCACTATTTGTGTGTGTGTGTGTCGTGAGTAGCTCAAGTACGTGTCTTGTTTTTTTTATTAGTTATAGGTTTTGTCTCTTGTAAATCTTCTACATCTAAGTCAATTGTAAATCTTTTTAGCTAAAGCCATCCACATATCGTCATTGGAAATATTTCAATTGCATGTAGATTGATTAAGTCTTCTATCTCTTTGATTCATGTTAATGTATATGTGTTTGTGTTGGAATTCATTGATCCTTCTTGAGCTGTTTAGATATTTGATTTTAAACTCTCAGCTCTTAAGTTTATGAAATTAGAATTCTTTTGTGATCCTTCTTGAGCTGTTTAGATATTTGATTTTAAACTCTCAGCTCTTAAATTTTGACATTGTGAAGCTCTTAGGTTTATTTTAATATCAAGTGTTTTGTCTCTTAATAACTTTCAATATTTGATAAAGCTAGTTTGTTCTCTATTTTCAGGTTTTGGATCTACATTACATCAAAGGTTATCAATGGAAAACAATCTAGGAAGCATGAGTAAGACATCAGGTTCTTTAACATACTAATTTTTGTTTGCTAACTGCAACTATGCACTATAATTAGTCATCACTGTGAATGGTTTTATTTACATATGTTTGTTTTTTATGTGCAGCCACTACTAAGGAGTTTCCCAAGCG